TATTTATGCCATTATTTCAAATTAGAATGAGAGCACATCAGGAAAGCATGGTACTTTAATATACGTATCTTGTTAACCCAATATTCTTTTTTAAGTAAGAGCAGCATGTATATCGAGAGTATAGGTTTGGTGCGTGACTTATCACACAGTACTTTCAGAAAGTGTGCATATTCTGTTTATCGGCAATAAATAACATAAGACGATTCAAACGGGTAAATACGATTTACTTCAGAACTAGTATCTCTTATTTAAGGTTAGGGGGAAATGTATGTAATTAACAGAACTTTGGCCGCGTTTGAAGGATTTGGGTCCTGGCTTGGGCTTTGTGTTGGACGTGTAGACGGCATTTCCAGGTTTGACGTATCAATGACAAAAATGATGACAGATGCAATTCTCTGCCTTTTCGGGTGAACAATTGGCTTGCCTTTGGATGTGTTTGTGGCGGGTGCCACTAGTGGATCGGAATGAGCTCGCGTTTTTGCGAGCATCCAATGTCATCATTTATTATGATGAATCATGAAACATGCTCCTGATGTTGTCGCAATGGTGCAGTTGGCGCTACTTTTGGCAAGGGTTTCTCATGATAATGGAAATGCTTATGTCGCTTTTGTTGACCGATAAACATGAAAAGATATAATGTTAGTGTATATGGTCATGTAATTAAGAAACAAACGACGAGTGGGAGTTGTTTATTGTACGATAAACAACGACCGAGATGGTGGGTTAGATCGCCAACTTTGTGTTCTGGCGATTTGGTGCCTCACTCACAGTGTGGGTTCAAATCCCGGACGGGACTCAACCCAAGAAAGTACGAGAATCTGTACTTTACTCAGAAAGTGTTATTCCAATTATAACATTTGTTGTCAAGAAAACACAATAAATGTATATTCAGCTTTGGATGGGTAATGATATCACAGACATATACGGATATTGATGATGACTTGAAGGAGCTTCGTAACGCACGTCTTCTCAATTCAGGGATTGGTAAATCCAAATATGTATGTGCGCGTGCGTGCGTGCGTGCGTCCGTGCGTGCGTAAATGTAGGCCTGTTGGATGTTACATAAAACATTCATCTTGAGCGGGATGGTAGTTCGAGTTGGATTAGCATGTTAACTATATGATCTTCTTTAGGCAGAGGGGGCGGTCGGGTAGCCTAGTGGTTAAAGCGTTCGCTCGTCACGCCGAAGACCCGGGTTCGATTCCCGACATGGGTACAATGTGTGAAGCCCATTTCTGGTGTCCCCCGCCGTGATATTGCTGGAATATTGCTAAAAGCGGCGTAAAACCATACTCACTCACTCACTCACTCTTTAGGCAGAGAATGCCGCGCATGAATGTATTGATGAAATTCCTAGGTACATGGGGCCTTTTCGTCCCCAGGAATACCCACAGTGGAGACTTCAATGGGGATAGGGTGTACACAATGTGCTACCTGGTAGATTGTGTGTCATCAGACCGGACAACGTTGGTCTTTGACTGATTGTGGCGTAAAACACACTTATTCATTTACTCATATCGGAAATTGAATGTTCATCTTAATTGTTATTGTTGAACATGTAATATATTTTTACAGAAATAAAACAGTGACATAATAACTACAACTTTATGTGAGCGCGAGTAGCTTTTTTGGAATGAGATGAATAAGTCTTATAAAGTTGTAAGCTTCTTCACAACCGTGTAACTATGAATTGACTTTATTGGGTAATCAAAAAAGAGATAGGACCTATAATAGCCAAATTTCATACGATTTCACTTGTCCGGCATCTTGGATGCAAGGCGAAAACATTTCAGCGCGTTTGAAGCCACTGAGAATGCCCCCTGCAGAGTTGGACGAACATTCTGCGGTGGCGCGGCTGAGTTGACCAGAGGCTATCAGCAGTATTTCCTGTCCAGGTTATTTAGGTCAGTTGTTTGTGTGTGTGTGTGTGTGTGTGTGTGTGTGTGTGTGTGTGTGCGTGCGTGCGTGCGTGCGTGCGTGTGTGTGCGTGCGTGCGGGGAGGGCGTTATATCTGTATTAGCGATATTGTCTTTGTTCCACCGGTGAGTCAGCGTTAGCCGTACTATGCGTTAGCGCTTGATAACAGCCTTGTGTTTGGGTGTTTCAGTGGTTTAAATCGCTGCTCTTGATATTGTTGATTAAACTTTGATATTATGAACAATATAATGTTATGTGAGAGGTTGACTTTAGAACGGTAACATACTAATAGTATATAAGATGACATAAACAGAACAATGAGAAGTTCGTCCAGATTAGTGTATAGGCAACATTTAATAATAAATTAAAATAATTACATTCAACAACTCCCCTTTTAAGTCCATTTTCCTGACTTATAAGTAAATGCAAGAACAATCGGCCGCAATACAATGTATAGTTCTTGTCCACTTCCATATGACTATATAGCATACAATAAGCTATCGGGTCCCGTTTAGATCGGTTTGGGTGGCAGCCTAGATAGCCATAGAATAGTTTAATCTTGGAATCTCCCATATCACTGGGGATACTCTTCAAATTAAATGGAGTTACTCGTTACGATTCCGAACCTTCACGTGACTGTGTTTATGAACCATTGTCAAATAGTGGTGACATTAAATCTAGGAAACAATACGCGAAATCGCGCATGCACAGAACGGAAAATTTGGTCAAGGCATTAAGTAATCCGCATGCGCAGAACGATTGATTTCAGTACTTCCGCTAAGCGCTTCGAGTGCAGCGTCAAACGCGGGCCTGTAATCTAACACGCGGGGCCAGACCAATGAAATGTAGGACAGCACAGGCAAAGCTGTCAAGTGGGGCAACACAGGTGGGAATATTGTAGGACAGCACAGGTGGAGGTGCCACGTGGGGCAACACAGGTGGGAATATTGTAGGACAGCACAGGCAAAGCTGTCAAGTGGGGCAACACAGGTGGGAATATTGTAGGACAGCACAGGTGGAGGTGCCACGTGGGGCAACACAGGTGGGAATATTGTAGGACAGCACAGGCAAAGCTGTCAAGTGGGGCAACACAGGTGGGAATATTGTAGGACAGCACAGGTGGAGGTGCCACGTGGGGCAACACAGGTGGGAATATTGTAGGACAACACAGGCAAAGCTGTCAAGTGGGGCAACACAGGTGGGAATATTGTAGGACAGCACAGGTGGAGGTGCCACGTGGGGCAACACAGGTGGGAATATTGTAGGACAACACAGGCAAAGCTGTCAAGTGGGGCAACACAGGTGGGAATATTGTAGGACAGCACAGGTGGAGGTGCCACGTGGGGCAACACATTTGGACATATGTGGAACCCTGATATGTTCGTGGTATTCTGTTGGGATATTTAGGTCAGAATATGATGTAGGGAAATCCAGGTTGGTAGAAACACAGGTGAAGATGTGAAGGGTGGAAACACAGGTGCAGGTGATATGTGGGGCAAGCCGGGTGGAGTTGTGTTGTGGGGCAACACATTTGGAAATATTGTGTCACAACACAGGTGCCACGTTGGGCAATACAGGTGGGAATGTCATGTGAGGTAACACGGTAAGTGAGTGAGTTGGGTTTAACGCCGATTTTAACAGTATTCCAGTCATATCACGGCGTGTCAGCTTAATGTGGGAGGAAAGCCCGAAGTTATGCAGGTCTCAGACGTTTACCACTTCGGTGAAACCCACGAGCACGGGTATGGTGCTAACAAACCTAGAAACATAATCGGGGCCAACCGGGATTCGAACCCACAATCATAGGTTCCTGGTGTGCGCAAGGAACGCAACTTTGCACAGCGAATCGCGGCGCTTTAGACGACTAGGCCACCTGTGCGCCTTGACACGGTAAGGGATTCATCGGGAAACACAGTTGGGGATGATATGTGGGGCCAGGCAGGTGGTGATGTGATGTGGGGCCAGGCAGGTGGTGATGTGATGTGGGGCCAGTCAGGTAGTGATGTGATGTGGGGCCAGGCAGGTGGTGATGTGATGTTGGGCCAGGCAGGTGGTGATGTGATGTGGGGCCAGGCAGGTGGTGATGTGATGTGGGACCAGGTAGGTGGTGATGTGATGCGGGGCCACGCAGGTGGTGATGTGATGTGGGGCCAGGCAGGTGGTGATGTGATGTGGGCCCAGGCAGGTGTGATGTGATGTGGGCCCAGGCAGGTGTGATGTGATGTAGGGCCAGGCAGGTGGTGATGTGATGTGGGGCCAGGCAGGTGTGATGTGATGTAGGGCCAGGCAGGTGTGATGTGATGTGGGGCCAGGCAGGTGTGATGTGATGTAGGGCCAGGCAGGTGGTGATGTGATGCGGGGCCAGGCAGGTGGTGATGTGATGTGGGGCCAGGCAGGTGGTGATGTGATGTGGGCCCAGGCAGGTGTGATGTGATGTGGGCCCAGGCAGGTGTGATGTGATGTAGGGCCAGGCAGGTGGTGATGTGATGCGGGGCCAGGCAGGTGGTGATTTGATGTGGGCCCAGGCAGGTGTGATGTGATGTGGGCCCAGGCAGGTGTGATGTGATGCGGGGCCAGGCAGGTGTGATGTGATGCGGGGCCAGGCAGGTGTGATGTGATGTAGGGCCAGGCAGGTGGTAATGTGATGTGGGGCCAGGCAGGTGGTAATATGATGTGGGACCAGGCAGGTGGTAATGTGATGCGGGGCCAGGCAGGTGTGATGTGATGTTGGGCCAGGCAGGTGTTGATGTGATGTTGGGCCAGGCAGGTGGTGCAACACAGGTGGTTGTGTCACGTTGGAAAAAACAGGTGAAGGTGCCATTTGGGACAACACAGGTGGATATGTTACTTGGGGAAACAGCTGCGATGGCATACAGGACTGCCCATGTAGGTATTACATGTGGGGCAACACAAGTAAAGATGTTATGTGGGGCAAGACAGGTGACAATGTTAACTGGGACAACAGAGGTGGATATAAAACGTTATATTTAAAAAAAACACATTTGTTATCCGCAGGTTTCACTTCTGTAGCGAGGCTTTCACATCATGGAGCATCCTGTGCTGTAAGAAATAATGACACCCACCTTTCCCTTTTACAATGAAGTCATTCAGGAATGAGTGTGGTCTGTCAGAAAAGTCGTCGGCGTTCTTGACAATTGCGTCTCTCAGAGCGCTGTATCCGTTGAGGACGATGAGTGGTTTGTTAAACATGTACACGCTGAAGATGTCACCGTATTGTTGCCTGAGTTCCTTAAAGGTGATCCGGGGATCGGATCCCATGGAGAGGACATTCCCCACAAACGGCAGGAGAGGCGGGCCCGGAGGGAGGCCGGAGGGAGGCCGGAGGGACGCCGCGTTAGCAGCCATAACACAGCTAGCACAGCTACACACAATAACACAGTTGTTGGACTGAAGGCGAATATATCCACCATTCTTTCCAGCTGTCCAGTTCTCGTATCGTAGGTATTCCAAACTGAATATGTCACGATGTGTTTTTGAGATACACTTTATATGTATTACCTTATGCAATCTCACACTTTAACAGCGTCAGCCTAAAAGAAGTGACCCAATTCTGCCTGAGCAAACATGATACAGCAGTTAGACTTGGCCCCGTTTCCTTAAGATTTCCGTGCAAATACGTTTGTTCAACTTGTTGCTTAACGTGTCTGTTAGGCCCTGAACTAGTTGCTTGTGATTCAGATATATCTGACGAACACGCAACAGCCTAAACAAGCTCACTTATCAGAGCAAACCTCTTATTTCCGCCAAATGATAATCATCTAAAGAACCGGTGTCATGCCTGGCCGCCCTTGTCACTTTGTGATAGTTTCCTGCAAAGTCTATGGGAGTTACGCGTAACTGATTGGAAATTAAAGTGCCAAAATCCCGATACGTTGTTGGTTCAGTTATATTTGTATATTTATTTGTTTACGACGTATGTTGAAGTGCATTCCCCTTACACAGGAGAACGCGTGCAAGACGCATATGACACGGGGGCTCAGCGGGTTGCATACGGTTTGAGCACCCGTTGAACACGCGTGTGCAATGCGTGTAACAAGGGACCGGGTTATAGTTGAATTTGACAAATAGATCAATTGAACAGTGAGCATTCGTGACCAACTCGTGTTATTCCGGGACAAGCCGAATAGCGACTCGTGCCGCTCTCGCGGCCATTTTTGCGACCAGTTTCCGTTTAAGCGCAAAGTGGCATAGCTAAAAGAATTGTCAACTGGTTGCGTGATGCCTCACAAACGCAAAATTATGATGTTACTGAAAGGCATGAGTGAGTGAGTGCTTTTAACAGTTTTCCAGTTATATCGCGGCGTGTCAGCTTAATGTGGGAGGAAAGCCCGAAGTGATGCAGGTCTCACACGTTTACCACTTCGTTGAAACCCACGAGCACAGGTATGGTGCTGACAAACCTAGAATCATATGTTCCTGGCATGCCCAAGGGACGCAACTTTGCACAGCGAATCGAGGCTCCTTAGACGACTAGGCCACTCGTGCCCCCGAAAGGCATGAAGGAGCATAATTATATTTACCACAAATAATACACGCTGTTGTGAGTGAATTTTTTAATTTATTTTGAGTATTGTGCAATACACCTGATACATTTGCATAGGGTAGGCCTATTTAAAAACAGTTTTCTTGTTTAACTCGCACTTAGCATTATTCCAGCTATTTGACGGTGGACTGTAAATATTCGAGTCTGGACCAGACAATCAAGTGATTGACATCAAGAGCATCGAACTACGCAATAGGAATATGATGCAATGCATCAACCAAATCAGCGAGCCTGACTATCCAATCTTGTTCGTCGCCAAGCAAGCATGGGTTTCTGAAGACCTATTCTAACCTTGGTCTTTATAAAAAAAAGTAGATCGAAGGAAATGGAAGCAATTTCTGGCACAAATGTAAACATGTGGAAATAGTATCAAAACTGCCAAAAATATTGGCAGATGCACATACTATAATATTAGATCACATTCTTTTTACGCTTGACAAAATGAGGCATTAGGTTATAATAATGTAAATGAAAATACTAAGGGCTCCATATGGCATAAAGGTCATACCAGATGAGGTCCTTTTGTCTCAACATTTCAATATCAGAACTAATCAATAACGGAGATTCCTCTTCTCTTGATTTACGTTTTTTGGTCAGTTTCCATTTTCGTATTTCTTTCAAAAAAATAGTAGTTATGATCATGATTAAATGAGTTACTTGGTCTTTTTCTATGTACTGCTTTTTGTCTAGTGTCAGTAACTGTTGAGGAATGCGGTTTACTGGTAACAATGACTGGTGTGAGTTCATGTGATGATCATTGATATACTGTAAAGATGTAACTAAACAATTCATCCATACTACTAAACAGAAGTAAAACTGCTTGTCCATTCGGAACAATCTGACCCAAACCATTCCGCTGATGAGAGTCAAATAATGCATATGAATCAACATCCGTAAAAAATGTAATGGATTTCCCCACATATGTACAATGTATTAAGGTAATAATGTGCTGAAATGTTGCTAAAAGCGTTCTAATCACCTACTCACTCACTCACCACACTGATTAAATCCTGGTAATGGCTTTCATGAGAAATAGCCTTGGAGAATGACTTAAGCTGATGATTCCATCCTAGGAGGGCTTCTGGCCATCCACGGGGATGAACTTAAACCTCTGGATCATGGTGATCAGGAAGAGAAACAACTCCATCCGAGCCATCGATTCACCCAAACAAGCTCTTCGACCTGAAATATGTCAAAACCTTGAGTTTTAACCCTTTTTTGTCCTTGTTTGACCTTTTTTAAAGACACCAAGGTAAGGTTTAATTCGATTATACAGTAATGACATTTCGGGCCGTGTTTTTCCCAGCAATTAAACTTACCCAGAGAGAAGGGAATGAACTCTTCTTTTTTTATAATATTGCCAGTGTCGTCAAGGAAACGGTCAGGCCGAACCTTTGTCTGGGACATGCAACACATCTGTGTCTTGTAGAAAAGCATCAATATGACGAGGGCACCTTTTGGGGAACGTATACCCTTCCCAGCGATTAAACTCACCAAGAGAGAAGGGAATGAACTCTTCTTTCTTTACGATTTTGCCAGTGTCGTCAAGGAAACGGTCAGGTCGAAAGTTGCCTGGGTCACCCCACATATCCGGGTCTTGTAGGACCGAATCAAGCATCAATATGACCAGGACACCTTTTGGAAATGTGTGCCCTCTGAACTGGACATCGTGGGTATAGGTGTGTGGGAGAGCGATAGGGGCGATATCTGCTCGTCTCAACACTTCCATAATGGTGGCCTCCACGTAGGGCAGGTTGGTCTTGTCTTTCATGGAGGATCATGGAGGGTCGTCTGCTCTGCCCTGTATCTCTTGAAAACACTTTTCCTGGACATCCGGGTTGTGGAGTAAGAAGGCCAGTGTCAATCGAATTGTAGTTGCTGTGGTTTCTGTCCCGGCCCCAAAGAGGTCTGCAATAACCCTTGCCTGGCTTTCCACTGAAACAGAACATGAACCGATTGAAATAGGAGTTGGTTAGTTAGACAGTGTTGCTCCCTTCTGTTGTAGCAGGATCCGCTGATAGGGGTAGAGTTTGAAATGCTCGAGGGGTGATAAAATACGTCATTTTTTACTCCTAGAGAAACTGCGAGATTTCTTCATGTATTTTGTCCTCCATGATGTTCCTGCCAGCTCCAAACTCTCTGAGAGTCACCAGAGGTACCAACCACGCCTGTAAGAAGAAGTTAACAAAGACGAATGTCTAACAACTAACAACGCAACCATAAAGTTTAACACAGTACCGCGACCTCTGAAATGTTTGCTTTTGATTCAGATACAGCGGATGCACGCTCGGCATGTAACATAACAGCCCAAACAAGTTCACTCATCACAGCAAACCTGTCATTTCCGCCAAATGATAATCACTCGATACATCGTTATCATTCTCGGCCATTTTGGTCCATTTTGTAATAGTTTTCTGAAATGCTATGGGACTTATGGGCAATTGAATAGAAAGAACATGTATCTCCTATTTTTAAAACAATTGTCATAATTGGTTTACTCGTTCTTAAAATTCCCTATTTGTTGGCAGATATCTATCCTTCTCCACCAGTTAACATATGTTTGTCCCTATACCCTCTGATAACTTTGTTTGGGAGTCACAAAAACGAGACGTACTGTCAGGTGTATATTGTAAACGGCTTGACCCAGTTTCTATTACTTTTAGGTGCACATTGTAAACGACTAGACACGGGGTCAGCAAGGGGTCAGTATACTGTGTCTGAGTGGGGTATTCATGTTAAACTGCGTCATGGTATCTCAGTGAGCTAGCACTTTTACACATCGCTATATATGTTGAATAATCTTGGACGCGACGTTATACCCATTCCACCTCACCTCGCATACATATCCACCTGTGTTGCCCCAAATGACACCTCCAGCTGTGTTGCCGGATATCACATTCCCACCTGTGTTGCCCAACATGACATCTCCACCTGTGTTCCCATACACACGGTCGTCACATGTGTTTCCCTACATGACACCTCCACATGCTGCCCCACGTGACACTTTTACCTGTTTCCCCACGTGACACCTTCACCTGAGTTTCCACACCCATCATCCCCACGTGTTTCCCTCCAGGACACTTGGAACCTCCACTTGTGTTGCCCCACCTCATATCCCCATGTTTTTCTACATCACATCTCCTCCCGGCTTGTCCCACATGATTTCTGCATCTGTTCCCTACTTAACACCCCACCTGTGTCGCCGCACCTACCATCTCAAAGTGCGTTGCCCTACTTAACATACCAACCTGTGATGCCCTATATCACATCTCCACCTAGTATTTCGCATACCATATTCCGACCTTTTTTTCCCGCATAACATCCTCATCTGTGGCCACCCATATTACATCCCAATCCGTTAAAATCAGAACAATTAAACACTGATATTAAGGAATGTCTTCAACACATAGAAATAGACTGTGTTCAAATAGATTGGTAAAGGGTTGAGAAAAGATTAATATATTTTATTAATCCGTTCCTGAGAATGCTAATTTTTATGGTTTGCGTTGTTGGTTGATATAAGTGTGATGACTTATAGGAGTGGGAAGTACCTCTGGTGAGCTCTGGCGCGAACAAAGACGCTTCGCCCTCAACACTCTCAGAGAGTTTGGAGCTGGCAGGAACATCATGGAGGACAAAATACATGAAGAAATCTCACAGTTTCTCGAGGCCTTCGAGACAGAACGGGGACAAGGGTTTGACTGCACCCGTCTGGTGCAGAACGCAGTATCCAATGTCGTCTGCTCCACTATGCTCGGCAAGCGATTTGAATATACAGACCCGCTTTTTGTTACATATTTAAAAGCTATAGACAAAAATGTTGCCAACGTAGGTGCGGCTGGTGTGTTGAATGTACTGCCTATTGTACGCTTTCTGCCAGGGGATCTATTCAAATTTAAGAAGACCTTGCAGAATGTAGACATCCTCCTATCACAACTTATACACCCTATGCTAAAGGAACACTTGGAGAACCACGACGATGATAACGCGGACGACTTCATCCACGCCTACATCAAGGAAATGCGACTTCGCAAAGAAAAGCAAGAGGCCACGACCTTAGACTGTAAGCATAAACTAAACGTAGCTATATTGGTTGTACATGTTTTCCGGTATTTGACTGTTTACTGAATGACTGACTGAGTATGTTTTTACGCCGCTTTTAGCAATATTCCAGCAATATCACGGCGGGGGAAACCACAGCAACTACAATTCGATGGACACTGGCCTACTTTCTCCACAACCCGGATATTCAAGAAAAATATTTTCAAGAGATCCAAGAAAACATCGGCCAGAGCAGACGACCCTCCATGAAGGACAAGACCAATCTGCCCTATGTCGAGGCCACCATTATGGAAGTTTTGAGACGATCGGATATCGCACCTACCGCTCTCCCACACACCGTTCCCCACGATGTCCAGTTCAGAGGGTACACGTTCCCTAAAGGTGTCCTTGTCATATTGATGCTTGATTCGGTCCTACAAGACCCGGATGTGGGGGGTGACCCAGAAAACTTTAGGCCTGACCGTTTCCTTGACGACACTGGCAAGATTGTAAAGAAAGAAGAATTCATTCCCTTCTCTCTTGGTAAGTTTAATAGCTGGGAAAAACACAGCCCGAAATGTCATTACTGTATAATCGAGTTAAACTTTACCTTGATTTCTTTACAAAAGGTCAAACAAATAGACATATTTGAAATATATAGTTTCAACCAATCCCACTAGTCGAGAAGTCCGGAAACCCTATAAAATGTAAATACAAATAGAATTGACATATCGATGATTCGTAAATCCGTGAAATATTTGAATTTGGATTCTAATGCAAAAAAATGTTTCAGGATTACAACATTTGAACTATATCATCTTGTATTTTATGTCAAGTCTGATATGGAGCTTCGTATAGTTTGTATATAAAACAGCATGTGTTTGTCATGATAATGAACCAATATTAACGAATTAAGAAACATCCCAAAATAGATCTAGTTATTTGTGAAAGATACTGACATGAGGGAATCTGATATTTCCTGAACAATGACATATAAGGATTGAAACTCAAGGCTTTGAAATATTTCAGGTCGAAGAGCTTGTCTGGGTGAGTCGATGGCCCGCATGGAGTTGTTCCTCTTCCTGACCACCATGATCCAGAGGTTCAAGTTCGTCCCTGTGGATGACCAGATGCCCTCCTTGGATGGAATCATGGGTGTAACTCATTCTCCAAGACCATTTCTCATGAAAGCTATTCCCAGGGTTTAATCAGAGAATGTGACTGACTGAGTGAGTGAGTAGGTGTTTAGACCCCTTTTAACAACACTTCAGCATGGTATTTCATTTTAGTTCATTTCAGTTGACGAAAGAAAACTATTAGCTTTGCGGTTTGAAACTTGATCTGAGTCTAGATACACCAAAAGTATAGAATCTTGATGATTTAAAAAAGAAAATCACATACTATTTGGTGTTCGGGTGGTCAGGGGCTATAACTTGGCTATTACAGGATTATTGGATTAGAGGTCTATCCTGAAGCGTTTGGTCGTTGCTCATGCGTCCACTCACTAGCTGCCTGGTTAGCACTCGGAAATATGGTGACAAAGCATTCGGAACAAAATGAAAATATTTATGTTGCTTTTCCTCTAATTGCTTAATCGTATAATATCATGTAGTCTTGTATGCGAACGTGATGAACATTTCAGCGAATCGCTCTTTTGGTGTTGCACAGACGACAAATAACATGTACTTTTCCAGCATGTTTCGTCAGTAGTTTGTTTGGTATTGAACAGTATCATATTTGAGCTGGTACAATCGTAGGTGAATTTATTTCACTGAAATTATTTAAGACCAAATGGGAATCTAACTGTACTTCTAACGCTTGAATCATGCATCAGTGCCCTCACATGTCCTGTTGCTCACATTTTAATTAAACTATCTTGGAAATTCAAGGTTCAAGAATAATATGAGTTTCAAATAATTCAAACTACTATCTCGATAATGTGACATGGGTACTTCTAATCTATTATAGGTTTCCGTTGTATAATATAGTATAATCCTCAGTCATGGAAAGTGGAGAACAGTTGACGAAGGGTGTCAATACACCAATGCAGTATTTGGATGCTGTGAGCAGACTTGAGGAAATGGGTTGACTCTAGTAATCGGTTCCATAGTGTATGCATGCAACGTAAGGTGATGCATGCATATAATGTACCTTTATGTAGTAATATGTTACACCTTCTTGAATTATTCATGTGACTATAACATTTTGTAAAAGACAATAAAAGTATTTTCATTTCTTTATTACAAGTGTTATATCCTCATTAGGAGTCTGCAAAATGGGATATGATCAGCACTAATCCGTTTTACAACTTGGGAAAGAAGCATTGGATAGTGGGAGAACTCAACCGTGGCATTTCTGATTTTAAGATATCTGACAAATGGGATGGGACCGATATATCTTGGTCATGACACACGCAATCATTCCGCAAATTGGTCCTATTCACCGCATGTATTCCCAAGTGAGCATCTGTCGTGGCACGGATAGTCTAGTGAGCTATGGCCATGACTTGTTTGGCCGTCGTCCGTTCACTGGACCAGGGCTATAGAAGTAATAAATCGGAAAGAAGAAAGTGAAACTAAACTGAAATTTGGAGTGCCACAGGAACCTGATCTTCGCCCAATACGTTCCACTATATACATCCTACGAGTTGGAAGCATTGCCAGATCTCATAGTCTCAGTTTTAATTTGTATACTGATGACATACAGCTCTATATAGTTTGTTGACAACAAACCTCCTCAAATTAAATGAAGACAAAGTGATATTTTGATCACCAGTTCAAGACTACGTAGCCTCAGATTCCTCTTCCTAATATACAGGTTGGGGAAAGTATTGTTCAATCAAGCTGTCAAGCACGAAGTCTAGGTTTGACCATTTATTCACCATACAGTTTGAGAAACCATTTGAATAACATCTGCAAAGATGCCTACTATCAGGGAACTGAATATCAGACAAATCAGAAGATATGTGGACAAAGACTCTGTCAAATGCTTAGTCTATCCATCTATCGCTTCAAGATTACATTATTGCAATAGTCTCATGCATGGCGTTCTACAGCACTCCACTGCTGGTCGTGATGGGTGACCGAAATGGGCAGTCTCAACTGAGGTTGATCAGCTATTGACGTACACGTTGTAATGTCAAAGAAACAGCGAAAACGTCTTAATCGTAGGCAAACATCAAACATTTTCTGAGGTTCATAAATCTTTTGAGCCTCTGGTGATGCAGGTGACTCTATTTTAAGAGCACAGAAATTGGAGACCATCCCCCTAACGTACACATAAGATATCCCGTCATCATCGAGTTTATAAGAAACTTATCTTAAACAAAATCATACATTTGAAATGCGCCATTACAATTCTTATCATTAGTATTCTCCCACAAGTGATAAAACCACTGGAAACTCTTCCTTTTTGGTGAGGCAACATCCACAGCCCTGTTCGTCTTAACGCAATCTTCAGGCTGTTTCCGTCCACCTTACTTTATAAATCACCCTTTGCTCCTCCATCTTCAATTCTTCAGCAGACCGATCTTCAGGTTTTATTTGACTATCTCTCTAAGCCATGTATCATCATAGATCATCTTAATTGAGATATGCTACTATGGGGAAGTACCGATTCTATCAAGTTTGGAAGAATTCGTGAAGATTTTATTTCTAATAATAATTTATACATTTTGAACCATTGCTCGAGCATATATTTACATCCTGCAACTGGAAAATATTCTGCTTTAGGTCAAACATATATAATGAATTTGAAGCCTATGATGACCTTTGTGGAAGTGACCATTTTCAGACAGAAATTACCAATGATCCACCTCCAGTAAGACGGAATGTTTCGAAGTCATTATTTTAGACCAACTGCTCTGACTAATCGAAACAAGACATTTTTATGGATGTTTCTGATCCAAATTCAGTTCTTCTCTGACAAACTGAAACATAGTGCTGTTTCCAAAATGAATTCACTCACCCCTCTGTCAAAGGTATGTATGAAAAATGTGATATAGCAAATAAGTTGGGTGAAACTTTAGCTAAACAGTCTTCTTCATCTAATAATAATCCAAAGTTTCAGTAGTATTTAAAATGATAGGAGAGGAAAAAAGTAAATTGTAAATCTGACAATAGCAAAGATTATAATGAGGTATTTTCACTATATTAACTACACAAGGCCTTAGCACAAGCTAAACACTTGACTGAATCTTGTGTCGAAACTCTGCTGAATATTGTAACAATCTAAATATAAGCAATATAAAAGTAGGACATTTCCCAACATATACGTTTCCCTACAAGACACTTCCCCACTCAAAGTAGGTCATTTCCCCACACATACGTTTTTGCAAAAGGCACTTCCCCGCTCAAAGAAGGACATTTCCCACATATATGTTTCCCCACAAGATACATCCCCCTAAAAGTAGGACATTTCCCAATATGTACGTTTCCCCACATGACACCTCAAAAGTTTTGGGACATTTTGCAACAGCCCATTTTTTTAAGAATTGATAAGAGGACGTTTTGTGGGAGACTCTAACATTTACTATTTCTTTTAAGCAAATATTAGAAATAAATCTTAACTGCCATGTTGACTGACTGCAGAATTTGTGATCTTAACCATCACCGGGCATGAACATGTAGACAGAGTCTCTTCAGGCTCTGTGGCATACGATTGCCCAGTGACAGAACAGAACAGAACAATGTCTATTTCTCCAAAATGACCCAGTAATCCTATATAAATAACATATAAATATAATACTGAATACATGCATCGGTGCACGGTATACTTATATACATGTGGAAACGAATATGTACATTTTTACTGGAACACATTCAGATAACAATCAAAATCATTAGAAAACATACACAGATTCATTATAATAAAACAATCTTGCACTTATTTGTGTACGGACAATCCACTTTAGATATATTTATCAAACATTCTAGGTAATGGAGGATATTGATAATTCATATGACAGTTAAATTTGTCTATAGATGGATATTGACAAAAATAGTTAGGTAATTAAGATTTCCAGAGATCCTGTAATTCATTACAACATAATACAAAGTGAAATCCATCCCCAATTGCAGCGTTACAAAGTGAGCACAGTCTGTCAATTCTGTATACATAATTCCATCTTCCACTTTCAACTGCTAGTATGTGGTTTGTTGTTCGTAACCAAGTTAGCCAAGTGCGGAGATGACCACACTCAGTATTGGTGGTTGGGGATATCAACGGTAACGGTTTATTATTAGAGGATTTTGGTTGTGAATACTTAATCCTATGAACTCTCTCCCACTGAATGCTGTGGCTTGGGTTGTCACGGATGTGGTCGGATAGAGCGCATTCAGTGGGAGAGAGTCACAACCCTCGCCACCAACCTCAAAGATTTCAAGATCAGGAAACTACAAGAAGCCATCAACATCAAAAGACTTCAGCCCTCAATCAACCGTGACCAAGTCTATTTCATACCCCCGGTGTACCATCAACTCATCAAACACCCCAATCAGCCATAATCCCGTTGTTTATATTACTGACTTCACCCAACCCCATCGGCATCTATTCGAAATCTCAAAATTCCCAAATTCTATATAAGCAACCCCTAAAGCCCCCTCTAAGTAAGTAAGTAACTCTGTTAATCACTTGCTTGATAACGGTGTTAGAACCTACACCGAAACGTCGCTCTTAATTGTAATAAAGAAGTTGTTCATCCATAAATTCTTATCCTTACATAGTACTCCAACTTCTAAATGCCTATCAAAAAAGTTAAGAATAACGTTAACATGATGACAAGGTAATGGACGTGTTAAATGTTACCCTTTTAGATTTGTCACGAATATGATGATGCTTTCTCTATCATGTCCGCCATTTCCAATATCCTCCACTGGTTATTAGAAGCAGTCAGAAAATCATTTCTATTCCCCCTCAATCCCATCCCAAAATATTGACGGATACAGTGAATTGTCCCTGTGTTGGTAGTTGTCCGACCCTGTAATACATTATGAATGCCAACAGGCATTGAATTAAAAATAAACATTGGTGAGTTCATTTCATGGAGTAGTAGGGGCAGTCGGGTAGCGTTGTGGTTAAAGCTTTCGCTCGTCACGCCGAAGATCCGGGTTTAAATCCCGACATGGGTACAATGTGTGAATCCCATTTCTGGTGTCCTCCGTCCTGATATTGCTGGAATAGTGCTAAAAGCGGCGTAAAACCATACTGACTCACTCACTCACGGAGTAGCAAATAGGCAGTAACATAATGCATGGGATTGTAACGGCGTTTACGTCGTAAAGAAACAAAAAAGGAAGGATCTTTCTTTGACATAAACAAAATACACCTGTGTCGAAATGAAACAGGGGTTTTCATGTGCAGTTCGTGATGTAGTGGGTACAAATCTTGATGCACGTGGTGAACGAGTGATATGCTATTGTCATTTGAATGTATACATGTTACGTGTAATAAGGTTTTGAAATCAAATCTAGATACATTTACCTTGACACGCAGGGCTTCATGTATTATATTTTGATGTTGAAATGTTTCAAAGCGCTTGTATAAAACACAAATCTCTCCAGAGAAAAATAATTAAGTATACAGGAACCTGACACACTGTCTGTAGCTATATTTACTTAACATCCATGGGTATTGAATTGCACCTCTGATCTGTTCAATTGCAGTGAGCCATTCTACACGTCAATGATCAAACTTCATTAACAACCCAATAGTTGATTAAATAATTGCCCCACAGTAGAGAACACGTCAAGTGAGAACCAACAATTGATATGAACAACAGACGCCATCGTCCGTACATTATAGGCAGGGGCAAAGGTGTGATAAGACTAATTACACGTTAAGCTTTGTTTGTTTGTTGTTTAACGCCGCACTCAGCAATAGTCCAGCTATTTGGCGGCGGTCTGTAAAAAAGTCTGGACCAGACAATTCAGTGAATGATATCATGAGCAACTTGTCTTCAGTCTGCCAAGGACGTTGTCGATCTCTCGGGTGGAGGAGTAGCACAGAGTCAAACTGAACAAGTTTAATCTTGTCTTCATTCTTGATTCTCTTCAGTATTTCGATAAACAGGAAGATGTTTGGGCGTTGGTATGCAGACTAGCAATCAAACGACTGTTGAATCATTGAAGGCTATTTTTTTGTTCTTGGACCGAATGTCTTATTGTGGTTCCACATTAGACTAGGAACGAGTGACTCATCGTCATGAATGATTGCGATCGAAGTGAAGGTGCATCCAGTAGCAAATTACTTCAGCACTTCTTGTACGTGTCTTAGTGACGCATCTCCAGTCAACATATGCGCTTATAAACTTGTTCGTGGAAGTGATCTTGAAAGAACACCTGATGTGTACCTCTCTACGATGTAGGATAATCAACTTTCTGCAATTATTTTTTTAAATCATTTATTTTTTATTCCATCTCATGTATATTGTTACAAGTGTAGGTATTAACATATATATATATGACAGTATTAGCACAAGTTATAGTTTTCATAGGTGAGGACGGGCAGATTGTGTAGGATATGTCGTCTTCTCAAACTGAGAGGGAGATTATAAATATTTGTTTTCAAGAAATAGATGATTACTAATTAACAGGTAGTATGTTTCAACTGCTTCTTTAGATTATGAGATGTAAGTTTTGCCATTTCTGAGCATATTGGTCAAATTGATTATTTTTTTTAGCGATATATCTTTCCAAACAAATTGTGTCTTTTAGTAGTGAAAGAAATTGCTCGAAAGATAAATCTTGTTGTTTTATGTTTGAAATGTAGATGAATCTTTTTGCTAGTATAATAATATGAATGGCTACATGGTTTTGAGTGGAAATACCAAAAAAGGTATTAAGTTTCGAAAGGATAAAATTTGTTTGCAGGTTGTTATTTAGGAAGTTTTCAACTTTAAGCCAAAATTGTTGAACAGATTGGCAATCGAAATATACATGAGACATATCTTCAGAAGCAGTTTTACAGAAAGTACAAACATCTTGAATAATTCTTTCTTAGTGTAAATTATTCTGTTTATAAATCGATATTGAAAGTCTACAAGTTTACCATCGCGAGTGCATTTTCTATAACATAGAAGTATATCTTTCCAATCCAAACCTTGAGGAAAAGCCGTATTCCACTGTTCTAATGATTTCGGTACAGTATCATTCCTAATTAGTTCATCATAAAAAGTCCGTTATTAAAAAAGTGTTTACATATATTGTTCAGCTGAACTACATTAACATCTAGGGTTTTGTCTCTGATTTGAAATCTCCAATTCTTTTGGAATATTGTTCAGTAATTTTTGAAAGTCTAGAAAAGTTCCCTGGATCTTATATTTTTGTTTGAAATTTTCAAAACTAAGAAAACCATTGTTGTCGCAAAGGTCTCTAACACTCTGGACACCTTGATTAAACCAGTTTGTTATAATATAAGATGATTTAAATAAAAGATTCAGCCAGAGTGGTTGATTCAAAATGTGGTCTAAATCATATTCATACAAACTCATTTTTTAGTAAATATCTTCCAAGCAGACAATACATCTCTCCAATAAGGGTTGTCATGTTCAGATAAACATTCTACAGCATTAGAACCAAGTTTGAAAAGATGTTTTAGAGGAAAGATTGTTGTAGAATCTTCATGCTTTTTTATATACTTTTGTAATGAAGTTAGTTTGAGAGCATTAATAAAACATTCAATATCTATCATCCTTAGACCTCCATCTTCATAATTTCTACTAATAGTTGATCTCTTAATGTTGTCGTTTTTGTTATTCCAAAGGAACCTAAAAATTAATGTGTTTAGGTCGGTAATAAAAGCTTTAGGTGGATTGGGTAGAGCAGAGAAGATTGTACCAGAGTTGATAGAGCAAGAGTTTTGATAACCGTAATTTTTCCAATAAGAGTTAAGGTTCTTCTACGCCAATTAGCTAGTAGTCTATTAATATGTTCTAGTCTTATTCTAGTATTGATTACCCAAAGGTCGTTCAATGATGCATTTAAAGTTATCCCTAAAATTTCAAAATCTCCCTTATGCCAATCAAGTTTAAAGTCTTGTACTAAAACTAGATTACTTTCAGACAATGATCCTATCGAAATTGCTTTTGTTTTTTCTACATATATTTTAAGTCCTGACATTTGATAGAATTTGTTGAGGGCATCCATTGAAGTATTGAGGCTTTTTTCAGATCCATCTAGAAGTAATTGAGCATCGTCCGCATACTGACCTAGTTTACTTTCCTTATCGTTAAGTGTTATACCTTTTATATCTGGATTTGTTCTTATCATAATACCTAGAATTTCTACAGCGATAATAAATAAATAGGATGAAATTGGATCTCCTTGTCTACATCCCCTCTCAAGCCTAAAAAATGATGATAGATGTCCATATTGAATAACAGATGCAGTGGTATTAGAAGTCAAAATACCTACCCATTTAATGATATTCGGGCCAAAACCACATTTTGTCATTACTTGTATTATAAAAGGTTTAGAATTTGTATCAAAAGCCTTTTCAAAATCTATTTATAGGAGTAGGCCAGGTTTGTTAAGTCTTTTAGTTTCAAAGATAATATCATAGAGCTTCCTAGTGTTTTCAGTTATACCTCTACCTGGAATAAATCCTGTTTGGTTATGGTGTATGATTGTATTTAAGTTTTTTTTTAATTCTATTAGCAATACATGAGCTGATTATTTTATATAAAGCATTTAGTAATGAGATTGGGCGCCAGTTTCTTACAAATTTTCTGTCCTTGTTTTGTTTTGGAAGACAGGTGATAACTCCCCTGTTCATTGTACATGATAATGCGTTGTCATCAAAGGTTTCCTGTATGAATCTAAACATCCATTCTCCTAAATGATTCCAGAAAAATTTGAAGAACTCAATAGGGTAACAGTCTATTCCTGGACTTTTATTATTTTTCAAAGATAATTAATTTCCTCTTTTGAGAGATCTTTTTCTAGGTCATGATATTCTTTTGCATTAATTTTTGGTGTGTTGATTTCTTCTAACAGGTTATTATTAACATTATTATTTGTGTAGGTCTGTTTATATAGTTTAGAATAAAAATCCTTTAATTCATCTAAGATTGTTTTACCATCTGTAATAATTTCACCAATTTCTGTTTTAATGCTATTGATTAGTTTAGTGGTATAATGTCTATTTTCAAGGTGGCAGAAATAACTTGTAGGTTTCTCTCCTTCTTCATACCAGGTTATTCTTTTGCTAATTATGGATCCTTTTACCCCCTCTTCATGGTATTTTTCTAAGTGTTTTTTCATTGTTGATAAATCGGAAAATATTCTACATTTTGGAAATCATTTCTTATTTTATCTTCCAGAACCCTAATATTTTCTTCCAAGTCTTTTAGTGTCTTGTTCTTATCTTTCTTTAAAAAGGAAGAGAAAGAGATAGTTTTACCACTTAGCTTCATTAAGAAAGTTTCCAGAAAAAGACATTAGAAATTTTTAGTTGCAATGTTGAATTTTCAATATGAGAATCAATTTCCTCTTCAGTATATTTGCTATCAGCATACTCATGTAATGTTTCTTTTAGAGTCTCCTTGACTATCTTACTATACTCTTCTTTTCGCAATAGTGAGGTGTTAAATTTCCAATATCCCCTCCCCCTCTCGTTACTTAAAGCGTTCGAAAATGAAAATGTTATTGGGGAGTGGTCAGATCTATACCCTGTCATAATAGCCGTATCACGTGAGAGGATATGCAAATCCTGTGAAATAAGAAAATAGCCTAATCTAGCCTGTTGTTTTGGGTTTCTTTTCCACCATGTAAATTTTCTGCTGTCAGGGTTTTGTTCTCGCCAGATATCTACTAAATCAATTTGATCTATGTTCTCTGTAATAATCTTTCTTGCACTAGGGTTATTGATATGTTTATAGTTTTCTAGATCTACAGATGGATTTAATACCAGGTTCCAATCACCACATAAAATCATTGATTCGTTTCCCAATTCTTCAATTCATTCAAATATTTTTATATAAAACGAAGGATCATCTTTATTTGGGCCATAAAGGTTTGTCAATGTCATTTTAATCCCATCAATAGTTAGATCTGATATAATATAATTCCCCTTATTGTCAATATAACTTTTATGAATTTTAATTTCAGTGTTGTTATTAAATAAAATAGCTACTCCACTAGAGTTGGTTGTAAAGGGAGCTATAATGCAATTCAGTCCCCATTCGTTTCTAAATATGTCTTTATCTTCATCAGAAATGTGAATATCTTGGAGACATATTACAGAATACTTCTTTTTGCGCCAAATTTTCATAATTTCAAGTCTTTTACTTTTTTTCTGCAAGCCTTCTACAATTAGCCGAAACTATTTTAATCTTACTATCCATCTATGAAGTTTGATGAAAAAAGTGTAAAGCCTACACATGAATTAATAAAGACAGATGATGGAGTGGAATTTTTTTGTTGTAACTAAAACAAACTCCATGAGTGTAAAACTAAGATATCCCCTGCTATCTGCCGTTGGTTACATTAAATAAGTTCACTAATGTCAACAACAGAAATGTACAAACATAATTCAACACTGCCGGTTTTCTTTTACAAAATCTTAACATGGTATATGCAGATTGGTCATGTCTAGATAATCTACACTTTACTGCTTTCGAATTTATCTAACTTATTTAACTTTCTGCAATTAGGATATGTTTGTGACAAATTCAGACAACATATGCACAATTTAGTAAAAGCATTTAGAAAACTCTTGCAAGAAGCTGAAGTGAGAACTTACAACTTTAGGTTGTTTTAACAATGCTCATTAATTACATCTATACGGATTTTGACAAGCCATCTCTACTCCCCTAGTCTAATAACTAGGGTATCTGACAAATGGGCATCGACCTTTCTATCATGTAAAGACACGACTGAGGATTTTACTAAATCAGTAACAACGGAAACCAAATAATTTGGAAGTACCCATGCTACATTAGCGAGATAGTAATTTATATTATTTGAACCTCAAATAAAACTTCATGATGACTTTCAAGATGTCTTGTCAAACATGTGTGCACCAGTCCACGCGTGGGCACTGGTTCACAACTCAGGCGTTATAAGTACAGTTACCTACCCATTTGGTCTAATATAATGCCAATGGAATCAATTCACCTATGATTGTACGAGATAAACTGTGATACTGTTCGATACCGAATACCTACTGACGAAAAATGATAGAAGCCTACATGTTACTTGTCATCTGCACACCAAAAGAGCAGACAGCTGACATTTACATCACATTCGCAGACAAAACTACATGCTATTTATCATACGAAGAAACAACGACAAGAAATTTCAATGTTTCTGAATGCTTTGTCATCGTTTCTGCAGGTGCTATCAAGGCAAGTGTGTGAAAGCATGAGCAACGACCAATCGCATCGGGATATATGAGCTACAATCAGCCAAGTCTCAGGTCTTGAGCACCCCATCACCAGACTGGTTGTCTCTTCTGACAAACATAAGGTACTCTAGCCTCTACAGCCATTAGATTATTACTCGCAATGCATCGCAAGTTATGAACACAACAGGCCAACACAAAGGACTTGACGTTGTCTTGCATTAGTCACTAAAGAAATTATTATCTGATTAACTAAAATACAGATGTTATAATTTTCATTTTTTATATCATCAAGCTAATAGTTTGGAGCTTCACCGGAAGCAAAGTATTCTGAATTGTAGCTAAATGCAGTCCAAACAGCTACTCCATCATTCATTTAAAATGATTAAACTCTGGGAATGGCTTTAATGAGGAATGACCTTGGAGAATGACTTAAGCCCATGATTCCATCCAAGGAGGGCATCTGGCCATCCACAGGGACGAACTTGAACCTCTGGATCATGGTGGTCAGGAAGAGGAACAACTCCATCCGGGCCATCGACTCACCCAGGCAGACTCGTCGACCTGAAATATTTCAAACCCTTGAGTTTCTACTCCAACATGTCCTTGTTCAGGAAACACCATACCTCCTCGTGTCAGTATACCTTGGACATATGTCTATATCTATATGTTAATATTGCGTTATTGAATTGAGAAACACCTGCTGTTTTATACAGAATCTATATGAAGCTATATATCAGACCAAAAAGACAAGAAGATATAATTCCAAATGTAGCGTTTGTAACAATGACATATACAATCTAAGTTCTTATGTTTTGGTGTATTGTCTATGGCTCGAAAGTTTAGATCTATCTGATTGAAAATCTGTAAAGAAAAAAAGGTAAAGTTTCATCAATTTATACAGAAATGGGAATGTCCTGGCGAGTAAACTGACCCAGAGAGAAGGGAATGAACTCTTCTTTCTTTACGATCTTGCCAGTGTCGTCAAGGAAACGGTCAGGTCGAAAGTTGTCTGGGTCACCCCACACATCCGGGTCTTGTAGGACCGAATCAAGCATCAATATGACCAGGACACCCTTTGGGAACGTGTACCCTCTGAACTGGACATCGTGGGGAACGGTGTGGGGGAGTGAGAGAGGCCCGATATCAGCACGTCTCAGCACTTCCATGATGGTGGCCTCCACGTACGGCAGCTTGGTCTTGTCCTGCATGGAGGGTCGTCTGCTCTGGCCGATGTTTTCCTGGATCTCTTGAAAACACTTTTCCTGTACATCCGGGTTATGGAGAAAGTAGGCCAGTGTCCATCGAATTGTAGTGGTTGTGGTTTCTGTGCCGGCCAGGAAGAGGTCTGTAATCACCATGGTCAGGTTCTCCACTGAAAAAGAACATGAACCGATTAAATAGGGGTTGTTTAGTTAGTTAGTGCTTTTGTTGTGGCAGGGTCCGCTGTTAGGGGTCTAGTTTGATATGCTCTTGGGGCTGATGAAATGGTCTAAGCTGACACGTAGTTATATTACTGAACTGGTTCCAGGACCACAAAGTCAAAAGAGAATTACAAAATCGCTTGTTAGTTGTCAAATACATGTACCAGAAAACATTATGATCAATTGATATAGTTTCGTGCAGTTTATTTTGGTTTCCCCCGCCGTGATATTGCTGGAATATAGCTAAAAGCGGCGTTAAACCATACTCACTCACTGGTTCAGTTTATGCTTACGGTCTAAGGTCGTGTTCTCTTGCGTTTCTTTACGAAGTCGCATTTCCTTGATGTAGGCGTGGATAAAGTCATCAACATTATCATCGTCGTGTTTCTGCAAGTGCTCCTTTATCATCGGGTCCACAAGCTGTGATTTGATAGTATCGATATTCCGCATCATCTTCTTAAATTTGAATAGATCTCCTGGCAAAAAGCGCAAAAAAGGCAGTACATTCAACACACCAGCCGCACCTATGTTGGCGAAATTTTTGTCTATAGCTTTTAAAAATGTAATAAAACGAGGGTCTGTATATTCGAATCGCTTGCCGAAAATAGTGGAGCAGATGACATTGGATACTGCGTTCTGCACTAGATGTGTGCAGTCAAACCCTTGTCCCCGTTCTGTCTCGAAGGCCTCGAGAAACTGTGAGATTTCTTCATGTATTTTGTCCTCCATGATGTTCCTGCCAGCTCCAAACTCTCTGAGAGTGTTGAGGGCGAAGCGTCTTTGTTCGCGCCAGAGCTCACCAGATGTTGCAGCCAATCCTGGACAAAGAAGTTAACAAAGGCCCGTTAGCACACCAACATCAACTAATAAACACACTCATAAACATAGTCAAAATATATATCTTTTCTAAATCCTTTACCAATCAATTTGGACATAGTCTATTTTTCTTTACATGTAGTAACGTCGTTAATCCTGTTTAATTGCTTTGATACATTACAAGTTGAGATGATGTTATGTGGGGAAAATCAGTTCAGAGTATGGTGTGGGAAACCCAAATGGGGATGTGATGGCGAGCGACGCAGATGGAGACGTAATGAAGTCGGAAAATGGTGTGGGGAAACCCAGGTGGGGGATGTGATATGCTGCAACACAGGTACAGATTTGTGATATGTGGTCATACAGGTAAGTAGGTAAAACAGGTGGATGTGTCATGTGTTGTCACACAGGTGGTGATGTTATGTGGAAAAACACAGTTTGATATATTAAGTAGGTAAAACAGTTGCAACTGTTATATGTTGCAACACAGGTGGAGATGATCTGTGAGGAAACACAGTTTGATATATTAAGTAGGTAAAACAGTTGCAACTGTTATATGTTGCAACACAGGTGGAGATGATCTTTGAGGAAACACAGTTTGATATGTTAAGTAGGTAAAACAGTTGCAAATGTTATATGTTGCAACACAGGTGGAGATGATCTGTGAGGAAACACATTTTGATATATCAAGTAGGTAAAGCAGTTGCAACTGTTACATGTTGCCACAAATATGGAGATGTTATGTGGAGAAACACAGTTTGATATGTTAAGTAGGTAAAACAGGTATAACTGTTACATGTTTCCACACAGGTGGAAATGTTATGTGGGGAAACACAGTTTGATATATTAAGTAGGTAAAACAGTTGCAACTGTTTTATGTTGCCACACCTGTGGAGATGTTATGTTGGGAAACACAGTTTGATATATTAAGAAGGTAAAACAGTTGCAACTGTTACATGTTGCCACACCTGTGGAGATGTTATGTGGGGAAACACAGTTTGATTGATATATTAAGAAGGTAAAACAGTTGCAACTGTTTCATGTTGCCACAAATATGGAGATGTTATGTGGGGAAACACAGTTTGATATGTTAAGAAGGTAAAACAGGTGCAACTGTTTTATGTTGCCACACAGGTGGAGATGTTATGTGGAGAAACACAGTTTGATATAATAAGAACGTAAAATAGGTGCAGATGTTATATGTGGCCACACAGGTGTAGATGTTATGTGGGGAAACACAGTTTGATATATTAAGTAGGTATAACAGTTGCAACTGTTACATGTTGCCACACCTGTAGAGACGTTATGGGGGGAACACAGTTTGATATTATTAAGTATGTAAAACAGTTGCAACTGTTATATGTTACCAGACAGGTGGAGCTGTTATGTAGAGAATGACAGTTCGATATATTAAGTAGGTAAAACAGTTGCAACTGGTACATGTTGCCACACAGGTGGAGATGTTATGTGGGGAAAGACAGTTTGGTATGTTAAGTAGGTAAAACAGGTGCAGATGTTATATGTTGCCACACCTGTGGAGATGTTATGTGGGGAAACACAGTTTGATATGTTAAGTAGGTAAAACAGGCGTAACTGTTTTATGTTGCCACACCTGTGGAGATGTTATGTGGAGAAACACAGTTTGATATGTTAAGTAGGTAAAATAGGTGCAACTGTTATATGTTGCGACACAGGTGGAGATGTTTTGTGGGGAAACACAGTTTGATATATTAAGTAGGTAAAACAGTTGCAACTGTTATATGGTGCCACACAGGTGGAGATGTTATTTGGAGAAAGACAGTTCGATGTATTAAGTAGGTAAAACAGTTGCAACTGGTAGATGTTGCCACACAGGTGGAGATGTTATGTGGGGAAACACAGTTTGATATGTTAAGGAGGTTAAACAGGTGCAGATGTTATATGTCGCCACACAGGTGGAGATGTTATGTGGGGAAACACAGTTTGATATATTAAGTAGGTAAAACATGTGCAGATGTTATATGTGGCCACACAGGTGTAGATGTTATGTGGGGAAACACAGTTTGATATATTAAGTAGGTAAAACATGTGCAGATGTTATATGTGACCACATAGGTGGAGATGTCATTTGGGGGAATACAGTTTGATATATTAAGTAGGTAAAACAGTTGCAACTGTTATATGTTTCCACACAGGTGGTGATGTTATGTGGGGAAACACAGTTTGATATGTTAAATAGGTAAAACAGGTGGAGATGTTATGTGGAGAAATATAGTTTGATATGTTAAGTGGGTAAAACAGGTGGAACTGTTACATGTGGAGAAACAGTTTGATATATTTAGAAGGTAAAACAGGTGCAACTGTTACATGGTGCCACACAGGTGAAAATGTAATGTGGAGAAACACAGTTTGATATATTAAGAAGGTAAAACAGGTGCAACTGTTACATGTTGCAACATGAAATAACATGAAATGTTATATTTAAAAAAAGAAACATTTGTAATCCGCAGGTTTCACTTCTGTAGCGAGGCTTTCACATCATGTAGCACAACATGTTCATCCTGTGCTGTAACAAATTATGACACCCACCTTTCCCTTTTGAAATGAAGTCATTCAGGAATGAGTGTGGTCTGTCAGAAAAGACGTCGGCGTTCTTGACAATTGCGTCTCTCAGAGCGCTGTAGCCGTTGAGGACGATGAGTGGTTTGTTAAACATGTACACGCTGAAGATATCACCGTATTGTTGCCTGAGTTTCTTAAACGTGATCCGGGGATCGGATCCCATGGAGAGGACATTCCCCACAAACGGGAGGCGAAGGGGCCCGGGAGGGAGCCCGGAGGGACGCCGTGTTAGCAGCCATAACACAGCTAGCACAGCTACACACAATAACACAGTTGTGGGACTGACGGCGAATATATCCAGCATTTTTTCCAGCTGTCCAGTTCTCGTATCGTAGGTATTCCAAACTGAAGATGTTACGACGTGGTTTTGAGTATACACTATATACCTTATGCAATCTCACACTTTTACAGCGTCAGCCTAAAAGAAGTGCCCCAGTTCTGCCTGAGCAAAGATGATACAGCAATTAGACTTGACCCCGTTTCCTTAAGGTTTTCGTGCAAAAACGTTTGTTCTACTTGTTTCTTAACCTGTCTGCTCGTCACTGAAATATTTGCTTGTGATTCAGATATACCTGACGAACACGCAGCAGGCTAAACAAGCTCACGAACCTCTCATTTCCACCAAATAATAATCATCTTAATAACCGGTGTCATTCCTGGCCTCCGTGGTCACTTTGTAATAGTTTCCTGCGAAGTCTATGGGAGTTACGCGTAACTGAATAGAAATTAAAGTGCATCTCTATTTTTTGTACAATTGTTTTTAACATGTCAAATGTGGTGCTAAAATCCCGATACGTTGTTGGTTCAGTTATATTTGTATATTTACTTGTTTACGACGTATGTTGAAGTTCATTCCCCTTACGGTTCGTACACCCGTTGAACACGCGTGTGTCATGCGTGTAACAAGGGGCCGGGTTTCAGTTGAATTTGACAAATAGATCAAATGAACAGTAAGCATTCGTGACCAACTCGTGTTATTCCGGGACAAGCCGAATAGCGACTCGTGCCCTTCTCGTGGCCGTTTTTGCGACAGAACGAAAAGTGGCATTGCCAAAAGAATTGTCAACTCGTTGCGTAATGATTCACATTTATTGCCCATTTATTATAAAGAAAACATTGATGCAGAGCATCAAAGTTCCCCTCCATATGTGATGCCTCACAAACCCATAATTATGATGTTACTGAAAGGCATGAGTGAGTGTGTTGGGTTTAACATCGCCTTTAATAGTATTCCAGTTATATCACGGCGTGTCAGCTTAATGTGGGAGGAACTCCCGAAGTGATGCAGGTGTAAGACGTTTACCACTTCGGTGAAACTCACCAGCACGGGTATGGTGCTGACAAACCTAGAAACATAATCGGGGCAAACCGGAATTCGGACCCGCAATCATAGGTTCCTGGCGGGCGCAAGGGACGCAATTTTGCACAGCGAATCGCGGTGCCTTAGACGACTGGGCCACCCGTGCCCCGAGACACGGTAAGGGATTCATCGGGAACCACAGTTGGGGATGATATGTGGGGCCAGGCAGGTGGTGATGTGACATGGGGCCAGGCAGGTGGTGATGTGACGTGGGGCCAGGCAGGTGGTGATGTGATGTGGGGCCAGGCAGGTGTGATGTGATGTGGGGCCAGGCAGGTGGTGATGTGACATGGGGCCAGGCAGGTGGTGATGTGACGTGGGGCCAGGCAGGTGGTGATGTGATGTGGGCCAGGCAGGTGTGATGTGATGTGGGGCCAGGCAGGTGGTGATGTGATGTGGGGCCAGGCAGGTGTGATGTGATGTGGGGCCAGGCAGGTGGTGATGTGACATGGGGCCAGGCAGGTGGTGATGTGACGTGGGGCCAGGCAGGTGGTGATGTGATGTGGGCCAGGCAGGTGTGATGTGATGTGGGGCCAGGCAGGTGGTGATGTGATGTGGGGCCAGGTAGGGTGGTGGTGTGATGTGGGGCCAGGCAGATGGTGATGTGATGTGGGCCCAGGCATGTGGTGATGTGATGTGGGGCAAGGCAGGTGGTAATGTGACGTTGGGCCAGGCAGATGTGATGTGATGTGGGGCCTGGCAGGTGGTGATGTGATGTGGGGCCAGGAAGGTGGTGATGTGATGTGGGGCCAGGCAGTTGGTGATGTGATGTGGGGCCAGGCAGGTGCTGCAACACAGGTGGATGTGTCACGTTGGAAAAAACAGGTGAAGGTGCCATTTGGGACAACAGAGATGGATATGTTACTTGGGGAAACAGCTGTGATGGCATACAGGACTGCCCATGTAGGTATTACATGTGGGGCAACACAAGTGAAGATGTTATGTGGAGCAACACAGGCGACAATGTTAATTGGGGCAACGGGGGTGGATATGAAATGTTATATTTAAAAAAACCATTTATAATCCGCAGGTTTCACTTCTGTAGCGAGGCTTCCACATCATGTAGCACAACATGTTTACCCTGTGCTGTAACAAATTATGACACCCACCTTTCCCTTTTGAAATGAAGTCATTCAGGAATGAGTGTGGTCTGTCAGAAAAGACGTCGGCGTTCTTGACAATTGCGTCTCTCAGAGCGCTGTAGCCGTTGAGGACGATGAGTGGTTTGTTAAACATGTACACGCTGAAGATATCACCGTATTGTTGCCTGAGTTTCTTAAACGTGATCCGGGGATCGGATCCCATAGAGAGGACATTCCCCACAAACGGGAGGCGAAGGGGCCCGGGAGGGAGCCCGGAGGGACGCCGTGTTAGCAGCCATAACACAGCTAGCACAGCTGCACACAATAACACAGTTGTGGGACTGACGGCGAATATATCCATCATTGTTTCCAGCTGTCCAGTTCTCGTTTCGTAGGTATTCCAAACTGAAGATGTTACGACGTGGTTTTGAGTATACACTATATATGTATTGACTGATAAAACAAACCCCTTTCAGTATGACATGGTAGACTGGATTTGAAGTGACCCAGTTCAGCCTAAGCGAACATGATCAGCAGTTTAAATGGAATTCAATGTACAGCCGTAGCTCTGGTCGCTATCATATATGTTGTGTCACAGGGTTGAACTCTATTTGCGTCTGTACCATGGTTCACTGACCTGATAATCTGTTCATGAACGCACAGCTCTCTACTGTCACATAGTTAACACTGAAGGCTATGAGTGAGTGAGTAAGTTCGGTTTAACGCCGCTTTTAACAGTATTCCAGTTATATCACGGCGTGTCAGCTTAATGTGGGAGGAACTCCCGAAGTGATGCAGCTGTCAGACGTTTACCACTTCGGTGAAACTCACCAGCACGGGTATGGTGTGATAAACCTAGAAACATAATCGGGGCGAACCGGGATTCGAACCCACAATCATAGGTTCCTGGCGTGCCCAAGGAACGCAACTCTGCACAGCGAATCGTGGCTCCTTAGACGACTGGGCCATCCGTGCCCCCGAAAGGCATGAAGGAGCATACATATATCAACAAATAATACACGCTGTTGTGGAAAAAAATCATATATATATTTTGTGTATTGTGCAATACAGTTAATACATTTGCATAGGGTAGGCCTATTTAAAACCAGTTTTCATGTTTAACACGCATTTAGCATTATTCAAGCTATTTCACGGTGGACTGTAAATAATCGACTCTGGACCAGACAATCAAGTGATTGATATCAAGAGCATCGAACTACGCAAATGGAATATGATGTCATGCATCAACCAATTCAGCGAGCCTAACGACCCAATCGTGTTCGCCTCATCTTACGGCAAGCATGGGTTGCTGAAGACCTATTCTAACCTGGGCCTTTATAAAAAAGTAGATTTCTGGCAGAAATGTAAACATGTGGAAATAGTATCAAAACTGCCAACAATATTAGCAGATGCACATACTATAATAATAGATCACATTCTTTTTACACTTGGCATAAAGAGGCATTTGGTAATAATTTTGTAAATGAAAATAGCCTGTTTCCATCCTCAACTCCCCACCTGTGTTGCCCCAAATGGCACCCCACCTGTGTTTCCCATGTGACACCACCATCAGCCATGCCCTACTTCATATGCCGACCTGTATTGACCAACATGAAAGCCCAATAGTTTTCTTCAAACCTAATATGTCGCTGTATACGGAAACTAAAGACACCATAGCTAATATTATGTGAAGGAAACAAAGGTGCAGATGTTACGTCTGGAAACAGAGGTGGAGATGTTGTGGGTGGAGGCAACAAAGATGGAGCAACACCGGTAGGGATCAGCGCTCTGTGCCATTGGAGGAAGAGTTTCTAACCCCTTCCCCACTTTAAGTTTTAAGTGATTTTTAACAAGTCAAGGGCTTTCAGGCATGTATTATATAATTTTTTGATGTGCTGTAAGACGGTCAAATGGTGATCAATAATGGTAGCAAAGAACTTGGCCTCCTTTTCAACTTTAAAAGGAATGCCATCTAAAATAGCCCAGGGTCTTTGATAGCCTTGAACAATCTACAATACTGTATACAATTAGTTTTAGATTTTGAATTCTTAGCACAACAGGAAATGTTACAGTCATCTACGAATAGAGATCATCAATGAAATCGTTTAAACGCTAAGTGAGGCTTTTAATGTGAATACTAAACAATGTGGCTGACCACATATTGCCTTGTTACCCTGATACTGGCGATAATGATCGGTCCTACAATTATCTGTCTGATACAACGCTGGGTATAAATTGAGGAAAGCGGCCTCTCAATCCAAAGTCAATCTTTAAGAATATTGTATTTCCATATAGTGCCATAATATGCTTGTTCGAAATTGTAAAAGATTGTATTACAAACGATCTAAACGAACTAAATGATCAAGGGTATTCATGTTTTTAGGGAAATCGCAATGTATATGTGCAATAAAACTACTGGTCTCTAAGTATCATACTGATCGATTATTTATTATGAGTTTCGTGGTTTTGGAAACACAGTTGGTAAATAAACTTGATCTATAACTTGAGGATCAGTATAGTTCCGTCCAGATTTCGGTATGGGAACAGCTATGGCGTCATGCCATGAAGAAGGTTATTTATCTGATGTCCAGATTTCATCAAACATTAGAAGACCAACATTTCTAAACATGGTTCTGGTAAGTGCTTCAGTTGATAGTGGATGTTCTCAGCTCCCGAATCAGTTTCATGAGCTTACCAAAGAGCGATATGGAGTTCACGTGTTGAAAAATTAGCATTGTAATCTTCCCAATCTGATATAAAAATAATGTAGTTTTTGATATGTTTGAAATTTTAGGAATGTAGTTGAATGAGGAAGAATGTTGAGCGAAGATTTCAACAAGTGTATTCGCATTATCTGAAGTGTGTGTAAATAGTTCATCCCCATGTTTACCTTGGAAATGTGCTTTCGTGAATACAATTTTTGAGACATGATTCTGCCAAGCTAGGCGTTTGTTTTGTTTAAATGTACGCCTGGTTTTATCTTTATAAATTTATCAAATTATGCAATATAGAATGGCGACGGAATGGCGATGCTATTTTCCTTAACCTCTTAGCGTGATTGCAGTCATTGGTAAACCATGGTTTACGGATGTGAGGATTTGGGGTGAACATAAATATCACACAAGGAAAATTTGTAGGGAATTACCTGAGCAAATATACCATTATCCC